TGTCCCCCTACAGGCTTTTCTGTGTTGCCCTCCTTACTTTCAAATTTGTGACCATTTGTTTATAGCCCACCCCTCTCACTGAGACTCAAGGTGGATCAGGGACTGTAAAACAACACAGGAGACATCCAGCAAACAATGCGCAAGGACCAGGATCAGGAGAATGAGAAACAATGGAAAGAAAACCTTGGGCATCGCATGTGAAAGGGAGCGTCAGTAGACTGGAGAGGTGCAAATGCTGAGACTCGAGGCTTATTGTTTTATTTCTTTTCATTTACAGTCTGGCTTTCACACTGGGAGTCAAGACAGATGACAAGTATGATAGAACTGTTTGGTCCATCAGTAAGCCACTTACAAAGCACGATAACATCTGATTGATCACATCTAAATGTAACAGCAAAAAGATTCCTTGTAAAAGCTATTCCATCACTCTGCAAGGGCTGATGGCTTGGTGGCAGAGCCTCTGCTTGGCATGCAGAAGGTCCCAGGTTCAATCCCCAGCAGCATCTCCAGTTAAAAAGGACCAGGCAGTAGAATTTTTGCTCACAAGACTCCACAGCTTAGAGGGAACATTGGGCTGCTAGTGACCTGCCTTTACAAAATATTAAAAGGTTTCTGAAATAATGTATAGGAGGACTTTGGTCCTGAGAATCAAAATTGCACTGAACTAGAAAAGTTTTATTCTTGCAATTTTACACTGTAGTCCTAAACACAGTCACATCCTCACTGGTGCAGAAGGGCGTAACTCTATTTAGGATTGCAGGGTTGATGGCTTTGGGGGGAGACTGGCAAAGGGAAGGGAAATGCATGACTGGAACTCGCAACCCGAGCCTAGGCAACCCGAGTCTAGCCTTGTTAGGAATGGCTTGCAAATATATGTGTGTCTAAAGTCTGTATTAAAGTCCTTTGGTGCTAATTGTCATGCAAGAGAAAACATCTGAAAAAGTAGCTTCATTGTTTTGTGTGTTGGCAGAACACTTGTCTGTTGCATGGGGGACTTTGGGGGACATCTGCAGAGAAACAAAGTTGTAGCTAAAAATGAGTACGGTCAGCAGCACTTTGGGGATTGCCTGTTTTGTGAAATTTAAAAAGTGGGCAGAGTTTTTGAAGAAGATGATTCTCCCTCTTCTCCTGCCCCTGGGCTGACATTTGCCTTTAATGGGCCAGCAAAGTTGACCTTCTTAAACCTCCTAATAAGAGAGATTGTTCAAAATGCCCACTTAGCTTGAAATCCAAAGTACGAGTAATTAATGCTAAGAGAGAAAGTGTAGGAACTAATTCAGAGGAATATTTATCCCACATCACAAGTGCAGCAGGTTGGATTGATGGTGGAAAGTGCTGTTACGTTTCTGCCAATTTATAGTGAACCTTCATGGGTTTTCAAGGCAGGAGACAAATAGAAGCGGTTTGCCATTGCCTGCCTCCAGGGCTTTTTTTGTAGAAAAAGCCCAGCAGAAACTCATTAGCATAATAGGCCACACCCAACAGCAGAAACTCATTAGCATATTAAGCCACACCCCTGACATCACAGCTCATTAGCATATTAGGCCACACCCCATGTTACCACACTCACCTTTTGCTTCTTATTGTGTTTTCTTTGTTTGCTGTCAAAACTCTGGACTTTTTTTGTAGCAGGAACTTCTTTGCATGTTAGACCACACATCCCTAATGTAGCCAATCCTAATGAGTTTCTGCTGTTAGGTGTGGCCTATTATGCTAATGAATTCCTGCTGGGCGTGGCCAACTCAGGAACCAGCCGGAACTCCGTTCCTGTGCGTTCCTGCCCAAAAATAGCCCTGCCTGCCTCTGTGTAGCAACCCTGGACTTCCCTGGTGGCAGGGGTCATTTCATAGAAAAAGAGCTAGGGGAACTCATTAGCATAACTCATTAGCATACGCCACACCCCCTGACATCAGGGGCCCGGCAGTGGACCTGCAAGGCCGGTGGGAGTGCAAGGAAGCCCCACCAAGGCCCTCCCTGACCCCAGGCAGGCAGGGGTGGGGAGAGGGGGGGAGGTAGCAACTTACCCTCCCTCTTCTCCTGCCTCCTCCTGGCTGAATAAGGGCTGGAAGTGGGGCAGCCAGAAGCAGGGGGCGGGGCTTTGTCATGTGCCCCGCCCCCTGCACCTCACTTGGGGGAACCACGTTCCCCCGCGTTCCCCCCCGAAATGACCTCTGCCTGGTGGTCTCCATTCCAAGTACTGTTCAAGGCTGTCCCTGCCTAGCTTCTGAGATCAGACTAGCCTGGACCACCCAGGTCAGGGCAAAACCAAAACCAACAAACATGGAAGGCATAGAAAGATGCTTCAGGCCCTGACCATCTTTCTTCAGATACCTAGTAAAAATTTCCCTTCAAGTCCCTGAACTAGACAAGAACAGAACTCAGGACTGCAGCGTGGTGATAATTTTATATCCAAGCTTCTGTTTAAGTAACTGGAGCATATTCCCCTTCATTTGAGGCTGTTTATAATTCAGCTTAAATTTAGGCCCTTTCTGCACTCTCCTTTAAATCCATTGAAAAGTACGCAGACGGACGAGTGATTTCAGCTTAGCGTACTTTATTAGGTCAAGAACAAGACAACTCAAGCCGGCTCGCAGGCCAGCTTATATCCCCGTGAATCCACCACCCAAAACACACACCCACTTCCCAATAGGTCCAAAACTAGTGGCTGAGAGTCCCACAGGCTCTCAGCCCGGAGCCTAGCCCTCTGATTGGTGTGGGCTAGGATCCGTATCGTCCATTGTCTGTCGGAGCGAAGCTCGACGCTTGTGCTTGACCGCGTGGTGCCCAAGCTGACCATGCGGCCGGGTCCTGATACATTACATCCATGTTCACTGTGATGTCCTCCAAGCAATCCTGCATTAAAATCAAATTCAACCTCTTTTTAATCCAGGCTTTCCCTCCCATTCTGCACTACAATTGAGTTCAACCTTCTTTTTATTCTGGGGTCCCCCCATTCTGCATTGCATGACTTCCCTTCAGTGGTCAGACTGGTTTCAGCCTGCTGTTGCCCCAGGTCATTTGGTTGCTGTTTTGTCATGGACTTAAATTGACTCAACTCAAACACTGAGAAAATCCAGAGTGGCAGGCAAATGTGGAAAGGACCTTTCTGAAGATAACTTCAGCTCTATTCAACAGCAGTTGTGAGGTGCTTATACGGAGGGTGTACCTTTATCTGTAGTCTGTCTGTAGATAAGTTTACTGGGATCAGAAAAATCATTACCACAGTAATCAAATAGACACATTCCGATGGTTACAGTACATCTACATACTAATACTGAACTGGCCCCCTCTGTGCGGATCCTTAGATCCAGACATCGGGGGCACTTGAGAGGGAGGAGAGGTTTGTGCACATGTGGGGTGGTCCCCACATGTGCACAAAATGCTAAATGTTGAAAAAACTTTCGGGGGGATGTTTGAATCCCCCCGAAAGTGCCAGAGCGTTCCGTGCGCATGCGCACGGAACGCTCTGCGACCTACCTGGCTTCTGTGCGTGGGAAAGGAACTGAATGGCTGGAGAGGCCCAGCAGCGGCGGTGGCAGCGGTGAGAGACAGGTGAGGAGGGGGAAGAAAGTCGGGGAGGGGAAGAGAGACTGCCAAGGCCCGGCGGATGTAAGCCGTGCGGGCCTCAGTTCACGGGGGAAAAAGAGAAAGAGAGAGAGAGAAAGTCAGGGGGAGGGGGAACGGTGAGGGGGGGGAGACAGCCCAGCGAGGCCTGGCAGAAGTTAGCCACGCAGGCCACGCTGTGACGGGGGAAAGAGAAAGAGAGAGAGAGAGACTGGGGGGAAGAGAGAGAAGGCGGGGGAGAGAGAGACTGGAGGGGAAGAGAGAGAAGGGGGGGAGAGAGACTGGGGGGAAGAGAGAGAATGGGGGGAAAGAGAGAGACTGCCCCCCGCGAGTATCGCGGGTCCCCCCCTTGTTAATTATATTAGATAAAATTAGAGTTGTAACTGTATTTCAAGAGACTGGTACTTACCTTTAAAGCCCTATATGGCCAGGGTCCGACATACCTGAGGGACCGCCTTTTCCCATATATACCCCAGAGAGCACTACGGTCGGGGGCACAACATTGACTGACCATCCCAGGCCCTAAGGACGCCAGGCTTGCTGCCACCAGGACCAAGGCTTTATCAGTGGCGGTTCCATACTGGTGGAATGAGCTCCCGGAAGAGATCAGGGTCCTGCAGGGGGGGTTTACAGTTCCGCAGGGCCTGCAAGATGGAGCTCTTCCACCAGGCTTTCAATTAGGAGCCGCCACACCACTACCACCAACATCTGTGGTTATGGGTTGGCCCCAGCCTGGAGATTGAGCCATACCATCGTGCGATGCTGAAAGATCACGGAATTGGAAACAACTGCTTGTGTACTATATAGTATGCCATCTTAATTACTGAAAGACGATTATTATCACTAGCACTTTGATTGTTGATTGTTTTAAATGTTTTAACTTTTGTATATGGTTTTATAGTACTGGGTACCGACTAATGTAAGTCGCTCTGAGCCTGTTCATGGGGAGGGTGGGGTATAAATGGAATAAATAAATAAATTAAATAAACTGTAATCGTAAACTATTATGCTAGTTAAAATTTGTTAAAATGCACCCTATTCTTCTGTCTAATTTGGCGAGCCTGAGCAAAAATCTACTTTGTCTGATTCCCCTGTGCAACTTAAATTAAGGTGAGAAGAACCTGTTTATTATAGTACTGGAAGAGTAGTAGGAAACCAGACCTATCCATTTTTGAAATACAGGCTCAAATCCATGAACTGCCAGCCCCCTGTGCATGAAAGTGTAGTGAATTCTAACAATTGCCTTTTTGGTGTTAGCCAAAAACAATAAGGTGAGGAGACAAAAGTTACTGGGAAAGACAATGGCACAAGGAGAAGTTGAAGGCAGTCAGGAAAGAGAGAGACCCGACGTGAGGTGGGTTGACTCAAGTAAAGGAAGCCACAGCCTTCAGGTTGCAAGACATACATACACATACACAGACATTTATTGGCATATGAGGTTGCAAGACAGTTCAATGACAGAACCTGTTGGAGGCCATGGATTCATAAGGCCACCTTAAGATGAAAGCAACTTGACGGCCCAGGACACAAACACGATGGTTTGCAGTGTGACTGATAAAACATGAGCAGTTTTCTGAACAGTCATACATTCAGTTGGGGGAGACCGAAGACCGTGTTAGAATTTACAGCTCTTTTACATAATTAACTACAGAATCAGTTGCTGTTTTGCAATGGGAGAAAGTGATTAACCAATGATGCAGCATGACTGGACTGGCATGAAACCCATCCTCAATGTGGTGCCATGATACCAAGACGCCATTGTCTTCCAGTCGTTTCTTATACAACAGCCCATCGTCCCTCAGCACGTCATATTCAAAGGTCAGGATGAAAGTCTCTGGAAGACCTTTCAAAAAGGAATCTTCAGCCAAGAGCGGGGAAAGTCTTCTGTTGTGCAGCTCACCCAACAGGCTTAATAAATCATATTTGGGGGGAGCTGGCGGGGCCTTATTGTGGTTTCGGGCTCGAAACTTCTGAGGGATAAGATCGGAATGTACCCACTTCCTGTATTTCATATGAGTGCTTTCAGGGAACGTATTTCCTGCAACCGCTATGTCAATCAATGAGCTGGGTTTATCGAGATACTGTGTGACCATTTCAAGGACCTGAACTCGGGTTATAAGAGGGAAGAAGCTGTTCTGCAAATAAGAAGGTAAATTGCAGTCCAGTGCTTGGAGAACAGGATAGAGCAGCACCTGAGCACGGGCTTTGGGGAGATCGGTCCTGCTTTTCAGCTCTTGGCAGACGTAAGCAGTCAACATGCCTCCAAAACTGTCCCCACAAAGTATTATACGAGCAGGGTCCACCCCATAGTTTTCTGAATTCTTCATGAAGTAAACGGCAGCGTCCTGACAGTCATTGAACTGTGACGGATAAGGGTTCTCTGGAGCAAGGCGATACCTGTTAAAACCAAGATAAGAAATACAAATAGCACATGTTGCACAGGCGTGTCTTCTCAGAATCCTGACATGTACCCCGTTTCGAAACTCCAGACACCTAGAACGGCTCTCTATGGCACCCCTCAGACCAGGGGTGTAATTACTAAGCAAGCACCGGTAAGCAAAGAAGGAAGATCTCATACCTCAAATCTGATTGGTTATAGTGTTAATGTCCTTGCTGACCCTGAGGCTAACCCCATCTTGTCAGGTCCCGGAAGCTACAAAAAGATCGTGAACACAGCCAAATCAGTAGAAGGGAATACAAATGCTGTGTAGCCCTAAACTGCTCTAAAATAGAAACTTTATTAACAATGTTACCAAATGTCTAAAAGACAATAAATATAACAATCAATTTACAACACATGCAGCAAAAAATCATAAATGAAACCCAGCTCATAACATTGAAGGATATTATCTAGTCAGGAGCCCGTTTATGTGGATCGTTATACACCAAACTGTGAACCCTTTATTTTTATTTATTTTTATTTAACTTTCAGTTTATATATCACTCTAACCCCGAAGGGTCTCTGAGTGGTTTACAGATAATTTAATTTCCTATCTAGGGCCACATTTTTGTAGGGGGGTGACTGCCTATCAGCGCCCAGGCAGCAAAGTCCTGTTGTTATATGGCTCTTCCAGGCGGGTTTCAGATGGTATTCTTTCTCGGCGTTTTTTCCTCTCCCGGTGCCTCAGAACAGATCTTAAGTCGGTGACTCTCTCTGGCGGACCCTATGAAGGGTCGCCAATTGGGTCCATGGTAATCATGTGAAATGGTCCTTTTTGTGACATGATACATTGACTGAGACAACAGACACGATTGAAAAAGATTTTGAAACAAGGTCACATCCGGAATCCTTGTCTCGTGACTAATGTGTATCATTGATTCCATGGCTGTATACAGAGTCTGGAGCCACATTGTTGATGAAGACGTTTACAATGTCACTATCATTGTTTATACTTTGATTTGTACTATGTGGCTCCTTCAATGTTATGAGCCAGGTTTCATTTATGATTTTTTTGCTGTATGTGTTGTACATTGATTGTTATATTTATTGTCTTTTAGACATTTGGTAACATTGTTAATAAAGTTCCTATTTTAGAGCACTTTAGGGCTACACAGCGTTTATACTCCCTTCTACAGGTCCTGGAAGCTAAGCAGGGTTGGCCCTGGTCAGTACTTGGATGGGAGACTACTCAGTGGCTCGGTGGTAGCGCCTCTGCTTTGCACACAGAAGGTCCCAGTTTCAAATCTCCGGCATCTCCAGTTATGGATCAGGTGATAGGTGATGTGAAAGAGCTCTGCCTGAGACCCTGGAGAGCCACTGCCAGTCTGAGTAGACAATACTGACTTCAATAGACCAAGGGTCCGATTCAGTATAAGGCGGCTTCACGTGCACCGAGGAATTCCAGGGCTGCTACACAGAGGCAGGCAATGGCAAACCGCCTGGATTTGCCTCTTGCCTTGAAAACCCTATGAAGGGTCGCCATAAGCCAGATGCCAGCTTGACAGCAGTACCCACCACTGGTGTCCCTATGAGACTTCCCTTTGAACATCCTAGTATGAAACTTTCAGGAACTTGTCCTGTGTTCAGAGAAAACTATCTGTGGTGAAAAGAAATGGTGATTCTTTTTTTTAGATTGCTACTGATGAAAATGTCCACCATACTATTTTCACCATACTAAGAACACGTAGCATTTTATTCCTGACAGTTAAATTCTCTCGTCAGTGACAGAGAGTGCTCCACTACATATGATTTCCATGTATTTGTATTAGAAAGGCCATTAAAAAAAGACAGCTCCTGCCTGTTTAACTGGAGATTCTTCTAAATTTATCAAAATATTTTAACTAATTTGATCAATTAATGGACTATGTCAGGGGTCCCTAATGTAATGCCTGCGGACACCTTATTTTAAAGTGGGCAGGGCCAGGTTGGGCTTTTGCTCAGGAAGCTTTCTGATTGGTCATTGGAGATTGGATTGGCTGTGAAGATTTTTTAAAATGTTGCATTAGCATAGAGTTTCCAGATTCCCAGTCCTGGCAGGGCTTCTGCCCACTGCCAGCCAGCTGGCCAGCGGGAAAGCCCTGCCCTCAAACTGTGACATCACACAGTGATGTCCCTGAGGTGATGTCATCACATCACAACATTGCACGTACCGCTTTGCTTTTTGGGCAAAACTATGGTTTGAGCCCAATTTTAACCACAGAGTTTGCCCAAAAAAGCAAAGCATCACCGCGCAACATCACTGGCATGATGATGTCACTTCCACGTGATGTCATCATGTCGGGGACAACACTGCCCACTCCCAGACTGCCCCCAAATCCCCCCACTGGTGCAACGATCTTACCTGGCAACCCGACATTAGCAGCAGCTGCCACCAAAGCACAAGAATCATCACTGTGTGACTGAACATTGTCTGCAGCAGTTTTTTTGGCTGGCCTCACCTGTGGTAGCCATTTTGTGGCTGTGAACACCATGCTGTGTCAGAATTCCAAAGATGCCTGCAGGCTCAAATAGGTTAGGGGACACCTGTACTAAATATTATAGCCCTTCTCTGAATGAGTTACAGAGCAATCCTGAACAGAGTTACACTCTTGCAAGTTAATTGAAAGCCCATATTAAAAGAATTTAGGAGGATATAATCTTACACTGTTAGTTTTCTAGCTACTCCTGTGTAAATTCAGACTTCATGGTGGACCACCATGTTAGCCTGGACCAAAGGCTAATTTGTATAAACAACAGAATTTACCTCAACTTCTCATCTCCTGCCCTATTCCTAGCTCAACTTTGCCTGTTCAATAAAATCAACCGTTCTGTTTAAACTTTACTTCATGTCAAGTGCCATTTCCAAATGGATTTATAAGAGGGCTCCTGCTGAGTTACAATAAATCTCTGGCCTGGGCAAAAGCCAAATAACTTCTCTATCACAGGGTGGAACGCACAGAAAGTTATAATTCTATAATTCAAATATGTTACCAGGAGGCAGCTCAGTCAGAGTGGGGAACTGTGTTTTGGCGGGAAAATCTGCCTCACAGAGAACAAGAAGTAGAGTTCCATAAGGTTGTTTCAAGGCAGGTGGGAAGCAAAGATTTCTCCATGGCCTTCCTCTGCAGAGTCTTCCTGGGTTGCCTCCTTTCCAAGTACTGACCCTTCTTAGCTTCCAAGATCCGACAATATCAGGCTATACCATACCACCTTCCCTCCTGATAGACTCAATGGGGGATATTTTTTTCTCCTCCTGCATTTGTTCTCTTCTATCAGTTCACCACCAACATTTGGGAGTAGTCCACACTATTTGGATTGTTTAATTTTGAGGGGGTTCATTTTGTAATATCTCATTACCACCACCACCACTTCCCATTAGGGTTGTCAACCACCAAATAGGGCCTAGAGATCTCCTGGAATTATAAGTTATCTCCAGGCTCCAGAAATCAATTTCCCTGGAGAAAATGGCTACTTTGAAGGGTGGGTTCTATGGTATTATACCCCACTGAGATCCCTCCCTTCTCCAAACCCTGCCTTTCCCAGGCTTCATCCCCAAATCTCCAGCAATTGCCCAAACTAGTGCTGGAAACTCTATCACCAATACCCTATATTTTCCCTCTTGGTAAAATGACTAAGGGAAATCAGTCTTAACTTGTCTTACATCTGAATGCTGGGGGGAAACCCCTGACAATGCACCAAAGTTCAAGATTCCACAAAAGAAAGAATTTACCCACCCGACAGATACAAGCACTGAATCGCTTTCCCTGGCAATATAGCGGCAAAATCTCTCATATGCATCTGAAAAAGAATGTGTGGGAAGAGAGTTGTTAAAATTGGAGGAGTTGTTTATGTTCAGAAGGACTCATTTCTGTATAGGCATCTGAAGCTGGGAATCAGTATGGTGGCAGAAAGTGCCATTGGATCACAGCCAACTTATTGTGACTCTCCCATAGGGTTTTCAAGGTAAAATATATTCATAGGTGGTTTGCCGTTGCCTGGCTCAATGTCACAACCAGTGTTCCCTCTAAGCTGAGTCAGTGAGAGCTAGCTCACAGTTTTTAAGCCTCTGGCTCACACATTTTCATCTTTGCTCAGGAAGGATGGCTCCAGAGCAAACTAATTCATGCAGCAGCCAAATCGCTCGCTCACAACTTTAATGCCAGTAACCAGACGGGGGATTGCAGTTCCCCTGGGTGAGGTGCAGGGGGCGGGGCACACGACGAAGCCCCGCCCCCTGCTTCCGGCCGTCCCCTGCTTCCAGCCTCATTCTGTTGCAGAAGGAGGATGAAGCAGGAGGGTAAGTTGGTGTCCTCCCCCTCTGCCTGGCCGAGGCCACTCCACGTGGCCGCCGCAAGGACTCCCAGCCCCATCCAGGAGCTTCCCCGAGGTAGCTGTGCTAGTCTGTTGCTGCAAAATAGTCCAAGAGTTCAAATAGCACCTTTAAGACTAACAAATAGCACCTTTAAGACTAACCTTTAAGACTAAGACTAACTGAGTGGTGGGTGTGGCCTTAGGACACACTTCCGGTGATGGCAGGGGGTGTGACATATGCTAATGAGTTATGCTAATGAGTTCCCCTAGCTCTTTTTCTATGAAATGACCCCTGCCAGTAACTCACAAAGTAGAATTTTTGCTCACAAGACTCCACAGCTTAGAGGGAACATTGGTCACAAGCCTAGTATTCCTTGGAGGTCTCCCATCCAAATATTAACCAAGTCTGACTCTGCTTAGCTTCCAAGATCTGATTAGATTGGACTAGCCTGGGCCAATGTAGGTCAGGGTGAGAATCAGTATTGGCACTTAAATAGCCTTCTTGATATTAAAAGGTAAAGGTTTCCCTTGCTCGAAAGCCAGTCAAATCCAACTCTAGGGAGCAGTACTCATTTCCGTTTCCAAGCCAAAGAGCCAGTGCTGTCCGAAGACTTTTCCATGGTCATTTGGCTGGCATGTCAAAAAGGAACAATGCTGCCATGTCTATTACCAAGTCTAGAATTAGCATCGAGAAAGAACTTTCCATTGGTCTCAAGACTCTTCATTGGTCTCTAACCTTGATGTATGTAGATAATTGGTATAAAATTTGTCTGAAAAGCAGAATATAAATATAATTAATCATTTGCAACTGGATCAGCTTGTTCACACAAGAGAATCCAGTTGCTAATGGTTATTATCATACAATCATAGCATAATATCCAAGGATGTGTAGTTGCAGCCTACATCTTTAGAAGTTTTAACAAATGCTTTTATTACCAATGCTCCCCATCATTCCAGATCCTCCATGGAAGAACAGAATTCCTCTCTGCAACCCAGTTGATGCCCTTTTAGGGTGATAGATCCTTACAGGTATACCCTCAAAGAAGTCATTCTTGGTGAAGACCCTTGGATCACCTAAGGGAGGGATTCCATCCATTGCAAGCCTCACTATGGCAAACCTATGGCAAAGACCCATTTTCCAGCAAATATAATCCTGTTTGCAGTGAAATATAAAAGGAGAGAAAAAGATAGAGAATTAAAGATGCATGCATAACAACATAAGAACATAAGAGAAGCCAATGTTGGATCAGGCCAATGGCCCATCCAGTGCAACACTCTGTCACACAGTGGCCAAAAATACCAGGTGCCATCAGGAGGTCCAACAGTGGGGCCAGGATGCTGGAAGCCCTCCCACTGTTGCCCCCCCCAAGCACCAAGAAGACAGAGCATCACTTGCCCCAGACTGAGAGTTCCTATCTATACCTTGTGCCTAATAGCCACTGATGGACCTCTGCTCCATATGTTTATCCAATTCCCTCTTGAAGCCGTCCATGCTTGTAGCTGCCATCACCTCCTGTGGCAGTGAATTCCACGTGTTAATCCCTCTTTGGGTGAAGAAGTACTTCCTTTTATCCATTCTAACCCGACTGCTCAGCAATTTCATGGAGTGCCCACAAGTTCTTGTATTGTGAGAAAGGGAGAAAAGTAGTACTTCTTTCTCTACCTGCTCTATCCAATGCATAATCTTGTAAACCTCAATCATGTCACCCCTCAGTCATCATTTCTCCAAGCTAAAGAGCCCCAGGCGCTTTAACTTTTCTTCATAGGGAAAGTGCTCCAACCTTTTTATCATTCCAGTTGCCCTTTTCTGCACTTTTTCCAATGGTTTAATATCCTTCTGAGGTGTGTGGTGACCAGAATTGTACACAGTATTCCCAATGAGATCGCACCATCGATTTATATAGGGGCATTATGATACTGGCTGATTTGTCTTCAGTTCCCTTCCTAATAATCCCCAGCATAGTGTTGGCCTTTTTTATTGCAGTTGCACACTGTCTTGACATTTTCAGTCTCAACATTTTCATGCCTTCCATATTTTTCAAAACCACGTCTAGAGAACATATGTATCCTCCCCGCTTTTAAGGGAAGAAATCAAGGAGAAGATAACCACAAAGGATTTGTCTGCCATTTTATAAAAAAAATTCTTGTTTTCTTGATATTTCATACCTCTGGCGATGTCAGCAACTATAACTCTGAATTGCAGAGTCAAGCAAATAACCTGGCCTAAAACCTACTATTTTAAAGGAAACTGCTGATACCATGGACTCTAAATTTTCCTGCCATTCTCAGGGAAAATCCTAGGATGTAGCTAAAATTTGCCACAGTGGAGAACCGTAATCAGGAGTATTTCGGCAAGGGAAGTTTAACCCTTCACCCCAATGCTCCCTCTAAGCTGTGGAGTCTTGTGAGCAAAAATTTTACTTTGTGAGCTACTGGCATTAAATGTGTGAGTGAGCAATTTGACTACAGCATAAATTAGTTTGCTCTGGAGCCATCCTTCCTGAGTGAAGACAAAAATGTGTGAGCTGGAGGCTAAAAAACTGTGAGCTAGCTCACACTAACGCAGCTTAGAGGGAACACTGCTCCACCTCCCTCACTTCATTCGCTCATAAATTCTATCAAGCCAACATTTTTTTTAATGGAAAAGCTAAAAAAAGATTAAACTTTGCCAATGTTACTGCTGCAAAACTGAGAAGACTAATCGCAGCAGAGATTTCCAGAGGACTCTGAACAGTAAAAAAGAATAGTTTTTTTTTTAAACTACATCCCCATCGTTTTAAGAATCCAGTCCGTATTTACTGATTCTACTTCCCTTTGGGATTTTCTGTTGGAAGAACCCAGTTTTGGAGAATTGCCTGTCTGGACCCCATTTCATACAAACACAGCGAGAACAAAAAAGAAGACTGGTAAAACTTTAGGGAATATTCTAGTATGCATACTTTGCTATTCACACCCTGGCAGTAAATTCAGAAGGACTTGACCTCTATGCACCAGTGAGAAAAGCTAAAATTGGTATTAAGGGGTATGTACTTACGTACCATCAAGTTGCAACTGACCTATGCTGACCCCAGCAAGGGGCTTTCAAGGCAAGTGAGAAGCAGAGTTTGCCATGGCCTTCCTCTGCCGCCTTCCTTGGTGGTTCCCCCATCAAAGTACTGACCCTGCTTAGCTTCCAAGATCTGACAAGACTGGGCTATACAATGGCACCTTCCATCACCTTTTAAGGGGTAGGACCAGGCCCATAGCTACAGTGGGGCATCTCGGGGCTAGGACCAATGCTCCCTCTAAGCTGTGGAGTCTCATGAGCAAAAAATCTGCTCTGTGAGCTACTGGCATTCAAGTTGTGAGCGAGCCATTTGGCAACTGCATAAATGAGTCTGCTCTGGAGCCATCCTTCCTGAGCGGAGACAAAGACCTGTGAGCTGGAGGCTAAAAAACTGTGAGCTAGCTCATGCTAACTCAGCTTAGAGGGAACACTGGCGAGGACCCCTGACTTACTGGCAAGGCCCCACGACTTCCCATCCAGCCCCGGGCCCCCAAGCAGCGACAGGTGCAGGGAAGGAGCCAAGTATTCCTTTAATTTGACTAGCCAGTGCCCCCTAAGAACTTTAAATGCCCCCCAAACTTAAAAAATGCTGGCTACGGGCCTGGGTAGGACTTATAGACCCCTTACCTTACCTTTCCCCCTAAAGCTACAAAAGCTCCAGAGGGAAGTGGAACAAGGACATGAAACAGGAGTAGCGACTGTTTCCCTTCCCTCTTTCTAAACAGCACCCCGGGTGATTGTCCACCTATGTCCTCTTTGTTTCAGACAATCTCCCGTTTTGTGCCATTTGTGAAGGTCAACAGCTACCACCTTTGAATGTCAATTGTAGTAACTCTATCTCACAAATGCTGACCGTCACTGATACCATATATGAAAAAGCCAACACTCCCCACCCAATAGATATGGAGTTCTTTTTTTCAGCTTTCACCAATGAAATCGGATTGTCTCAGTTAAAAAAGGTAAAGGTTCCCTTTCTCGAAAGCCATTCGAATCCAACTCTAGGGTTGCGGTGCTCATCTCCGTTTCAAAGCCGAAGAGCCAGCGCTGCCCAAAGACGTTTCCGTGGTCATGTGGCCGGCATGACTAAACACCAAGGCGCACGGAACACTGTTACCTTCCCACCGAAGTGGTACCTATTTATCTACTTGCAATTTCTTACTTTCAAACGGTTAGGTTGGCAGGAGCTGGAACTAGAGATGGGGGCTCACTCCATCATGCGGCACCCGGGTCTCGAACTGCTGAACTACTGACCTTCCACAGCCTGCAGTTCAGCGTCTTAACCGCTTGAGCCACCACAGCTCCTTTGTCTCAGTTAGGTGACTGTTAACCTTCACCAGTGCCTCTCCAGGTTTTCAGATATTCACAACATTTGCTTAACATTTGGATATGGGTGAAAGTTTTGATCCAGAGAGAGAGCGAGGGAATGGAAAGCTGCTCTATCCATATGGAAGTGTCTCTTTCCTCCACTCTGTCTGTCAGTCTGATATTCTCAGGGCTGCACCAGTGGGAGCAGGTCGCCCACATGATGTATCCACTTCCATTGAAGGTCTATGATAACAATTGAAAAATGACTCTGTGCTACCTGTTTTTTCTCACCTTCCAAACTCGAGGTCGCGTCAAGTCGACTTACCAAGCCATACACCATGACAAGTGCCAAGTGCAGAAATCGGATCTTTTGAGATTCACGCATTCCGGCAGGGATTTCGGTTGTGGAGAAATGATAATACAAAGCCCATCCCAGCAACAGGAAGAAAGGAGTGAGCAGAGCAGCTGCTATCAGTTCGAGGACATTCCAAATCAGGGGCATTGTTTTTTCCCACTCCGGTGCTTCCAGTTGGAGGATCACTCCTGGCTGTGCTCTCTAGGACACTGGAGATTCCAGTTGGGAAAGGAATGAACAGCTTCACTAGCAGGAGAGAGCCTCCCTTGATTGGTTCTGATCTGAATGTATACATGGAGGCGTTAATTAGAGGTGAATGCTTTTGCTGCTCATTACTTATTGAGATGTAATCAGCTCACGTGCATCTTCTACAAAGCTATTTGACTACCTTCCTCCTAGGATAGGAGGACCTGTTCTTGAAATAACAGTGTCAATGGCCAATAAATACATTGCTCTTCATGGAACGGTGGCCCAGATGTCCATGAAACATTTCTTAGTCTCATTAACATTTCTTAATATTCATAATCGCTCTACCCATTAACACTTCTTAATATTGTTGTTGTACCTTCCCATGTCGCCTTGTGAAATAGCTCGACACGTTGAACCTGAATTTTAAAAACTCTGAACGTGTCAACAATGCCGCAAGACATTCTTACATGCGAACACAGAATGAAGAGAGCCTCCCAGGCTCAATAAATCCAGCCAAGAAAACTATAATATGTTGCAAAATTACTTGTCAGTCCAGGTCAATAATAATGGTATGTGGTAGAATCAGGTCCTCTCTCACTGCAGACTTGCTGTCTAGGTGACTCTAAGAGGGTTCAGAACACATGAAGGGCCATGCATACTGTTCATGATCCTCCCAGCCAAATCCTTGTAAATATTTTAGGGCAACGTTCCATTTTCCAAACACCACCACCACCCCCAGCCACTGAACTTTAGTTCGTGTGGTGAGCCTGCTCCAAGGGGATTAAATATTCCAGCATCGCCAGTTCAAGTAAACTGTGAGCTGCTGATCTGAGGCCGGTCCCCTTCACTAGAGTGGTGTAGCATGGGCTGCCGGCACCTGGGGCAAGGCAAGTATTGCACCCCCTAACTTGTGGACCGTTAGCACTCTCTGAGTCCCCTCCACCAGTCCAATATTGAACCCCTTACTCCCCAAGCACATGTACTGATGTGATTAAAGTAAAATTAATTTCATGCAAGTGGTTAAGACGCTGAACTGCAGGCTGTGGAAGGTCAGTAGTTCAGCAGCTCGAGACCCGGGTGCCGCATGACGGAGTGAGCTCCCATCTCTAGTTCCAGCTCCTGCCAACCTAGCAGTTCAAATACAAGAAATTGCAAGTAGATCAATAGGTACCACTTCGGTGGGAAGGTCACAGCGTTCCGTGCGCCTTGGTGTTTAGTCATGCTGGCCACATGACCACGGAAACATCTTCAGACAGCGCTGGCTCTTTGGCTTTGAAACGGAGATGAGCACCGCAACCCTAGAGTCGGATTCGACTGGCTTTCGAGCAAGGGAACCTTTACCTTTTTATACTCAAATTTATTGAAAATCGCCTGGTTTTAATCTGTGCAAGTTTTTCAGTAACAGTATTGAAATCTACATTGAAATCTCTGTCAATTGACAGTATTGCTAGGTTACTCAGTCTTTCTAGGTTCATTGTAGATCTCTGATACGTTTTGATTAATTTAAGGACAGTACGGCTGTAATTAGCAAGAAAAACACTGTAAAATGTTACGTGGCAACGTTTATTTGCCCCGTCATGTTGAAAAACTGTGTGGAATGTTCGAGCAATGGGAGATTTTCTGTGTGAGGGGGAGAGCGTGTTATTTTTTATTTATTATTACTACTTTAGTTTTTCTTTTTTTCCCTTTTTTAAATTTTGCACCCTTAAGAATTTTGTGCCCGGGGCAACTGCCCTTGTGGCCATACCCATGCTACACCACTGCTTCACCATCCAGTTCATACTTCAGAGTACTTACATAGCAAATTGCTTTTCATTTCATAGAGTACCGTGTTGGTCTGCAGTAGCACAGCTAGATAGAGCCAAAGCTTCCCTTGTCAGATATGAGTTGGAACGGAGGCCTCTGTGTCCTCATATTCCAGTTAGAAGGCAACACTCCTGCCATCTTCTGACAGGGGGGCGATTCTGCATCTGACATCCACTCCACTCCTCAAGTCATTTGCCAGTTTCTGAAACAATGCATCTGTGTCCCTAGGTCCAAAATGCCACACAGTAGCCTCATGCCAACCATCTGGAGCGATGAAGGCACATTTACCTCTGGCTTCTTCCTCCAGTCCCGGTTGTCAAAAGCCCTTTGGTGTAGTGGTTAAGTGTGCAGACTCTAATCTGGGACAACCAGGTTTGATTCCCCACTCCTCCACTCGCACCTGCTGGATGACCTAGGGCAAGCCATAGTTCTGTCAGAGCTGTTCTTGAAAAGAGCAGTTCATGAAAGAGCTCTCTGGAGATTACCCACGTAGAGTAGACAGGCTGTGCGTGTCAACCTGCAGGAGGGTTGGATGTGGGGACATGGAGGGGTGTGGCATTGGTTAAACCATAGAGTTTCCGGCAGGTCCTAGAGATACCCTATACCACTTCCAGGATATCTCAGGAAGTGATGTAGCTGTGTAGCTGACTTTGCTGGTTTGGGAGGCGGGTGCTTGGCAGCCCTATGCCCCTATCATGAGGGGTAGATAAAAGCATTGGAGTGACAGGCTTTAACCAGGCATGTGCATGCAAAACTAACTGAGGACATATTTATTCATTGAGTTTATTTGTTCCGGAGCATTTCTATCCAGCCTTTTATTAAAATAACATAAATGACCATTCACAAGGTGAATCGATAAATATAGGATCAAAACACCTGATTGATAATTGATCAGGTTTTTAAAAGATTTGTTGGTTTCAGATATTAGGCCTATGTTTATTCATTTCACCTCCCTTGCTCCTGAATTTGCACCTCTGCCTTCTGACTCCAACAGCCTACAGGCCTGCAAGGCCTATTTGGTGGTGGTGGAAAGCACCATCATGTCACAGCCCATTTATGGTGACCCCGTAGGGTTTTCAAGGCAAGGGAGGAAGAGAGGTGGTTGGCCATTGCCTTCCTCTGCGTAGCAACCACGGACTTCCTTGGTGGTCTCCCATCCAAATAGGAACCAGGTCTGACCCTGCTTAGCTTCTGAGACATGATGACTTACGTTGGGCTACCTTGAGCCATCCAGGTCAAGACAAGGCCAGCTGACCTGGCTTAAAATCCCTCTGTTACAAGAGATGTGAACAACTGATTAGATCGCTTCACTGGTCCCTGGGAAAGTTCATCACAAGCAAACCACCATACTGGCACCGTCATGGCTTGGCTGCTGCAGTTGGTTCACAGGCTTCTTCCTGGTAAGAGCTCTTTCTTGCAATATTTATTTATTTATTTATTTAAAACTTTTTATTTTAATTTTTAACAAATAACATACGGGGGTGGGGGGGGGGAGTTCTATTAACATTTGTACCCGTTTCATGTACCAGAGTTGTTTTTATTGAACATAATGCCAGAAAAACTGTAAAAAAAACCAAGTCTCATATCGTATTATACATGTACTGACATCTGTGAGAATATTATATACCAAATACTGGAGGAAAAATGAGATCTCTTCGAAATATGGGGGAAAATTGAAACGGCAGAAATGGACGAACTTACTTTAATTTTTAAAGGATAAAATGGAAAAAAAAAAACTTTGGAAATGCATGGTCAAACACATCCCAGGAAAAGCTCAAGGCTTTACATCATACTTCCTTCCATAAATGGGGAGTAATTATGGAAGGAAGTGGCTGGAGGCTAAAAAACTGTGAGCTAGCTCACACTAACTCAGCTTAGAGGGAACACTGGCTGTAACCAGGGCTTTTTTGTAGATAAAGCCCAGCAGGAACTCATTAGCATTATAGGCCACACCCAACAGCAGAAACCTATTAGCATATTAGGCCACACCCCCGACAGCACAGCTCACTGGCATATTAGGCCACACCCCCATGTCACCAGAAGTGTGCTCATCCAGCCATACCCACCTTTTGCTTCTTATTCTGTTTACTTTGTTGTCAAAACCCAGGGCTTTTTTTGTAGCAGGAACTCCTTTGCATGTTAGGCCACACACCCCTAATGTAGCCAATCCTGCTGAGTTTCTGCTGTTGGGTGTGGCCTATTATGCTAATGAGTTCCTGCTAGGCGTGGCCAACTTGGAAGCCAGCCGGAACTCCGTTCCTGTGCGTTCCTGCTCAAAAATAGCCCTGGCTGTAACTCACAAGAGTGCATATAACCTATTTGAAGATATATTGTTTCAGTTACTGAGGAAGTTCTTCGACACGGAGTTCTTAATATCCGGATTCTTCATATGTTATTCTTCATACATCTTCACCTCAAGAGGAATCTTTTCTACTTTAAGACTGGACCTGATTGTGCTTATATGGTTGTATTTTGGTTATTATTGAACTAGTGTTAGTGTCTTTTTCACACAGATTACTATTCCCTTGTATACCTAACCTGTGTGTTCCTTTTTGGTTGCTGCTCAGATTGTCAATAGCAACATCTTCAAAGTCTCCCAACCCCCCCATCCATCCAGATGTGGAGGGATAAAATCTGGGATCAATTTATAATGGCAAAGATTGCCAAAACTTCTAACTGCCCCTCATTGGCCTCAACCAAATCTCACTCTAAATATGTGTGCTCATGGTTCCCTCTACTACAATATATGAAAGAAAATGATATTCTTCCCTCTAACTCACTGAAAATGTCGAGACAGTGTGGAACTGCAGTAAAAAAGGCCAATGCTATGCTGGGGATTATTAGGAAGGGTATTGAAAACAGATCAGTCAATATCATAATGCCCCTATATAAATCAATGGTGTGACCTCATTTGGAATACTGTGTACAGTTCTGGTCACCACACCTTAAAAAGGATATTATAGCTTTGGGAAAAGTGCAGAAAAGGGCAACTAGAATGATAAAAGGGTTGGAACGACAGAGTGTTGGACTGGATGGGCCACTGGCCTGATCCAGCATTGGCTTCTCTTATGTTCTTATGTTCTTAACCCTAACTACATCGAGTGGCTGCACTTCTTTTTTTAAAACTTTTTATTTATTAGTTTTCATACATGTTCGTTAGTTCATTAATATACATATATGTCTTAGAGTCATTTATCCGTTTTCTAACCATTTATACATTCCCGACCATCGCTTTACAAAGGTTTCATCATTTTCCCCCTGTAACTTAAACTCAATTTGTCTATTTCAGCTACCCCCATCAGTTTTTCTATCACTTCTTCTTGTTTCGGGGTATTATCTTGCTTCCAGTACTTTGCCCATTGTATCCTAGCTGCTGTTATTGTATATAGTATTAGGAATTTTTCATTGTAATTAATGTGTTCTGGAAGTATATTAAGTAAAAATATTTCTGGCAACAAGTCAAGTTTCACTTTAGTCATTTCTTGTATTATTTTCTGGATAAATATCTCGTATTTTTGTACACCGCCACCACATATGGTAAAATGTTCCAACACTTGGTTTGTGGTTCTGTTCATGGTTTGCAGACTGTTCCAACATTTGTAAAGCGAGTGGCTGCACTTCTGAATTAAGTCCCCATAGTCTGAGTATTGTTGTCCTTTTGTTTAATTAATATAAACTCTGCAAATATATACATGTTCTCTACTGTCAATATGTTTATCCAGCAAGCTATGTTACTATGATCCTTATGAAATACTGTGCTAGTGTATGATTCTACACTCTGTTTTATAATGTTTCAATTATTAATGTATGATTGATTTAACTCTTCATAAACTGGGTTAAAATTTTAAAAAAGGAGGAATGGGAAAATGGCATCCAACAATTTGCTTTGGCATCATCAATTTAATATATACTCTGATTTTGTATTTCAACATGATCAATTGGGATTAAGCGTTCTCGTCATAAAGACCGTTTGAGGACACATGACAGCATAACCGCTTTGCATCTCTTATCTCTTATCTTAATCCTTCATTATTGCATAAAATAATTTTATTTCTTTCAACAGTTTCCAAAGGCTATGATTAAGATGGGCTAATCCCGGGACTTGTTTTGGGTCACTGGCAATCGGCTCAAATGCATTGGGGTCAGGTTTGCCTCTGTGTTCTGGCTGTGATGGCTAGCAAACAGTAATTGCTTGATCTTTCAGGCTTGTGCCAGGAATGATGGGCATGCAAATCTGTGTTGTGTTGTGCTGTGTTGACTCCAAGCCTTGAAAAGAAACAGTTTTTCTCCCAAATGGAAAATGAAAGTAACAGTGTTGTTTCTAGGGCTGCTAGATCCCAAGGGAAGCAGTGGTTCGCCCACTTTAAAGCTAAAGGTAAAGGTTCCCTTGCTCGAAAGCCAGTCGAGTCCGACTCTAGGGTTGCGGTGCTCGTCTCCGTTTCCAAGCCGAAGAGCCAGTGCTGTCCGAAGACGTTTCCGTGGTCATGTGGCCGGCATGACTAAACACCAAGGCGCACGGAACGCTGTGACCTTCCCACCGAAGTGGTACCTATTTATCTACTTGCAGTTTCTTGCTTTCGAACTGCTATTAGGGAACTTATTAGGGAAATTATTTCGAACCGCTTTAGGGGCCCCCAATCCACCGGCCTGGATCTGGCCAGCTGGGGAGCCCTGTCCCCAAAGTGCCTGGACTGGGCCGACGTGCCCAGCATGATGACATCACCCAAAGATGACGTCATCATGCCGGGTACGTCATTTGGTCTGAAAACTCTATGGTATCATGGAGGCTGATTTCGCACTAGAGCTGCCTCGCGGTTGTGCCGCCATTTGCCCTGACACTATTTGTCAATTTCACTCCCAAAGCTGCAGGGGGGCCTCTGAGGCGGGGGTTTCCTCGCCCCCCGGGGGACTTGGCAAGCCTACTGGCGACCCTAGTTGTTTCTTGCTAGACCATTCTGGTTTTGCTCTGTGGTGCTTAGTTGGATTATCTCTGGCTTCTGTTTATTGTGCCCGCCGCCAAAACAAGTTATACAGATTAGGAGAAGGGATGAAAACATTGTCGGACAAATAACCTCTGCGAGCAAACCTTCCCTTCATTGTATGGTTGCCAACAGCCAGGTGGGGCCTGGAGATTTCCCATCGTTACAACTGATCTCCAGACTACAGAGATCAGTTTCCCTGGAGAAATGGGAGCTTCAGAAGGGGGATTATATGGTATTATACCCTGCTGAGGTCCCACCCCTCCCAAACCCTGCCCTCCCCAGGCCCCGCCCCCAGATCTGCATGATTTTCCTACCACAGAGTTAGCAGCCCTAGATGGGGTGAAGTTTTCTTCTTCAAAACATAAGCCTTGTTGTGGTCTGCAAACTTGTGCTTAGACCAAACAATGCTGCCGCCACTCCCCACCCCCCAAATCAGCACCCATTACAACTAGGAAACGGCTGCTTTGGAGGATGGACCGCATGGCATTGTACCCTGCTAACGTCTTTCCCCTCTCCTCCCCAAACCCTCCCCTCCCCCAAAAATCCTTGAGGAATTTCCCCACCCAGAGCTGGCAACCCAAATTACAATCTCAAAGTAATATAGAAAGGAACGGCAAACTGTAGGATTTTTTTTTTTAAAGCACATCATTTATTTGCCAGCGTTTTGTATCAGAACAGATGTGACGGTGTTTTGGTGCAGGGTGGACTAGTACAGCAAGACAACAGACGGAGAACAGAGCTGTATCAGGGTGTTCAAAAAGGCACATGTGTGTGTGGGGGGCTAATTGTGCTGTGCTGTATTCTGCTAAAGAGTACAGCAACCATCAGGTGCAAATGGGCTGCAAGCCACCAAACTGGTTGTCGAAAAATTGGCGATTTGGTCACGACCAGCGAGTAGGATGCAATCCGAACCAGCTGGTGTTCAAACATCCCTAGCCCTAAGGGCATCCCCTCCACAACCCAGCCCGTTGCTCCAGAGAACAATGGGCCATTCTGGAACTGACCCTTCATCCTGAGATACCTACAGATGCTTGGCAATTATCCCTACCTGCGACTGATCAACACCCACTGTTCCTACAATCCTGAGTTATGGCTTAAGTACTGAAACCGAGGACTATTTAAAACACCACATGCTCCAAGCATAGCACGAAGTAAGGGAGGGAGAGACCTTTTCTGAGCCAATTTAAGGAAGTCCCCCACCCCCCCCAAAAAAAATCCTGCTCAGAACCAGCTAAAATTGCCAGCCTCCAGGTGGGGCTTGTACAATTTATCTCTAGACTAGAGACTTCCACTGGAAAACATGGCTGCTTTGGAGGAGGGATTCATTAGACCCTGCTGGGAACCCTCCCTCAACCTGCCTTTCCCAGGCTTCATCCCTCCAAATCTCTGGGAATTTCCTAACCTAGAGTTGGCAACCCTCGTCATGACAGATGAGCAGTTAATTCCACGTTAGGCAACAGAGGAGTGAGTGGGGCAGCTGCATGCAATGAAGGTAAAGCCACCTCATTAACCTTTCCTTCAAGCCTTCCTATTGGGTTTCCAAATCTGGGGTTGGAAATATCTGGAGATCCATAGAATCCACCCCCCCCCCCAAAGCCAAAGCAACTATTTTCTCCAAAGGAACTGATCTCTGTTGCCTGGAGATGAGTTCTAGTTCCGGGAGGTTTTCCAGCCTCCCCCGGAGGTTTGCAACCCTACCTTCCTATTGGCTGATCCCCAGCTCAGCTTGATGAGTGATGCCTTATTTGAAACACAAGGGCACAGCTGGATTCACAGAACCACAACTGGAAATCTTGAGCTTTCTTGAGTAGGGATAGGCATGAACCAGAAAAAAATGTGATTTGTGCCGGCTTGTGGTTCGTAGACAAACCATGAACAGAACCACAAACCAAATTAAACTGGGAGGTTCATTCACAAACTGAGGTGGTTCAGGGCCCAGCAAACCCCGCTGAAAGGGAACCTCTTTAAACAGGATTTGCAGAAAGCCCCCAAAACAACTGAGCAGTAGGCCTTCTGCTCAACTGTTTTGGGCTATCTTCTGCAGTCCCTTTAAAGTGCACAAGACAGCCCAAAACAGCTGAGTGGCTGTTTTGTGGCTTTCATGGGGAACAGAAGGCAGGGTTTAAAGGAACTCAGAGTCCCTTTAAAGGAACTTGGAGTCCCTTTAAACCCCTGTTTCCTGTTCTAATCATGAACCACCACAAACTGCTTTTAAAGTTGGTGGAAGTTTGTGACTGTAGACCCATCACAAACTTTGGTTCATGAACCACAAAGTGGTTCCTTTTGCCCATCTTATTCTTGTGCATCCTCCAAATGATCAGGTTTACATTTTGAGATGACCAGGAACATGTCTGGATCTACAGACCTTTGATATAATCAACGACAGCATCAACTCCAGTTTTGGCACAGGGAAAAGTAATAAGCCAGTGATTCAACAGGACTGGAACAGCGTGAAACCCATCTTCAAGGTGATACCATGAAACCTGGACGCCATTCTCTTCGAGTCTTTTCTTGTACAGCAGGCCATCGTCCCTCATCACATCATATTCGCAAGTGAAGATGAAAGTTTCCGGGAGTTCTTTTAAAAAGGAATCGTCAGCCAAAAGTGGGGAAAGTTTTCTATCAAGCCCTTCATTGATCAAGTTCAATAAATTATCTTTTGAAGAAGCAGGCGGTGCTGGGTTGCGGTTTCGGATTCTAAAGTTGTAAGGGACATGATCGGGATGTACCCATTTCCTATATTTCCTTTGAATGTCTTCAGGGATAAGGTTTCCTGCAATCGCCATTTCAGCCAAGGTTGAGGGTGTCCCCATATAGTACGCAGCAAATCTCGCCCAATCTATCAGAGTTGGCAGAGGGAAGAGGCGGTTCTGCTGATAAGAAGGTAAAGTTGCATCCAGTCCTTGGAGGAAAGGATAGAGCAGCACCTGAGCACGGACTCTGGGCAGGTCAGTTCTGCTTTTCAGCTCTTGGCAGAGGTAAGCAGTAATTGTGCCTCCACAACTGTCCCCACAAATTATGATGTGGGCAGGGTCCACCCCGTAGTTCTCTGCATTCTTCATAAAGTGAACGGCGGCATCATGGCATTCATTGAACTGTGACGGATAAGGGCTCTCTGGAGCACGGCGATACCTGTCAACACCAAAGTCAAGACATTAAAAGTGGAATGGTGTCTGGCTGGTTTGACGGAGCATTTAACGTGTTCACGTCTCGTGTCAGCGGCACCGAGAGCGGTGCCCTGAATTCATTGACGATTCTGCCAGATTTGAGATATTTGATGATGTTTTCTGATGAAGGGAGCCTTGACTTGCAAAATCTCGTCTCCTGAAGACCTTGTTGGTCTCTAAGGTACCACACTGGACTCCAATATAGATGTTCTACTGAAGGCCAACATGGATACCCTCTGAAACTGTTTGGGAAGAAAACACTGATGGATCCTCCTAACCAGGTTTCCCTGTAAGCTGAGTGAGTGTAAGCTAGCTCACAGGTTTTTAGAAGAAGAAGAAGAAAAGAAGAAGAAGAAGAAGAAGAAGAAGAAGAAGAAGAAGAAGAAGAAGAAGAAGAAGAAGAAGAAGAAGAAGAAGAAGAAGAAGGAGAAGGAGAAGGAGAAGGAGAAGGAGAAGGAGAAGGAGAAGAAGAGAAGAAGAGATTGGATTTATACCCCACCATTCACTCAGAGTCGGCGTTCCCCACCACCAGCGGATTCGGCCCCAGGGGGAACCCCACCCCCAAAAGCACGGGACGTGCCCGGTGTCAGCGCATCACCCGTGTAGTATGAATGGGAATATAAAGAT